AATCAAACGGAACTGGAAAATGCATTTATTGACTTTATCAATTCTAAAAATTCTGAATTCTACTCAGACGGAATTAATAAGTTACCAACACGTTGGGAGAAATGTATTGAGAGTATGGGAAATTATTTTGATTAAAGAACATTGCTTTAAAGTAACTAGTTTCTTTTTTTTTGTTTAATACCAAAATCCTGCATTATTTTCCGGACAACCCAATATATATATATATATATATATATATTTCTTTCACTATTCAATAAATTCTCTCTCTTCATCTTTTTCTTTAGTAACACATTCGAATCTCACTCGCCCACTCACTCACTCTATCTCTCTGTTTGTTTCCTCATTAGTCTATATATATTGATTTATTTATCGATCGTATCTGCTCTATTTTCCTTTTAATACTAATGGCCGGTAGAAGGATAAAGTTACTTTCCTGTAAAGTAGTTTTTTCTTTGGTTTTACGTATACTTAGCAATTTTTTACTACAAGGTATTGTTATTAATTATTATTATTTTGTCAATTTATTGCTCCTCTTTATCTGTTTTGCTTCATATATTAATCCAATTCTGTAATAATCTGAATTTCTGAGGCCAGTTGGACGACTAACTTAAGTCATGGTGTCGAATAGTCCCGTTTTTTTTTTTTTTTTTTTTTTTTTTTTTTTTTTTTTTTTTGTACTTAATGACAAATCAAATGTGCTTAGGTGAGTTACAGTACAAAGAAAATTATCGAAACAGGATAGATAGCTAGAAACTAAAGGTTCATCGCCCCCCTTTGGAATAAATCTATCTCCTAAAAATATATGTGGAACGTTCCCAAATGCATTTTGTTGAAGGGGGAAGGTCTTTTAGAATTTACATATCGATGTTTATCTGCGATTCACCTTTTATTTTTTCTCTGGGTTTCAGGTACAAGCCTATGAGAGGATACCGGAAGTGGGAAGGAAGCGAGGCCTAGGATGAGATGATACCGTCAGATTATTGAGTTATTCCTTCCTCGGTGACAGTCTCCCACAGGCCGGTCGTAGATTCGGCCGGAGCCACGTTCATTCAGAGGGCCTACGTGGACAGTTGTGGGAGGCATATCAAGGGCCTACGTGCCACCGAGCACAGGAACTATATATCATGGGCATCTACGTGGGACGCCATCTTACTCACCGGGCACACCTATTGTTGTTATTAGGACCGGTAATCACCAGAGCGCTACAACAATGGTAATTGCCTCCCCCCTGTCCATTGTTACACCGGGGACGGCCATTGTAAAAATCTGGAGCGAATCCTTCACGCCACTTCCTCGACGCACGGTTCGGTCACACATTTTCCACTTTTTTTACCCAGTGGAATTTTATTCAAATTTATTCGTGTTTTTGTCAAAAGCACAACGTGTACAAGTAATACTCTTGCCATAACAGACATCAACAACGAAAACAACATTAACAACAACTTTATAATGTTTGTCTGTTGGCGTCTTGGGCGTACATTCGTCAACCTTCTACAACATTTTTCTATGAAGTCCCTCGTATCTCATAAAATATTTATCCTATTATAAACATGATTACACCAAAGTAAAAATCTACTATTGTCATCTGTATTTTTATTGCAACATTAGAAAAAAACAATCACTTAGAAGATAAACTATTGCGAGTTTGTAAAGATTTTGTCAAAAGTGGTGGTTAAAGAAAAGTTGCCCCTACTAACAAGCTTCAAACACATGTACTTAACTTCTCAAAGGTCAGCTATCTCCAATGTAAACTAAAAGTTTTATTACGAAAGTACTATGTATTAGTATTTAGTGACTATGTTCGTACACAGAGTTCCCAAGAATTTCGTTTTAACAGACAAATCTCATGGGTTTTTCAATACTCTAAAAGGCTGTTGAGTATTCCCCCATTCGAAGTTCAGAGGTCAGGAAGTATTGAAATGAATAAGCATTAGTTGCTGTTAAAACTACCTTGTCACTGCTATGTCATATATCTGTCCGCAAAATTTCGCCATCTAATTGCTTGGGCATTTATGCAAATCTACAGCTGAAAATATTACGGTTCTAATTGATTTTTCTTTAATCACTCTAGAGAGTATAACGTCAAGTTCAAATCGAGATTTCAGTGCAAATATGATGCTATTATGTCGTATTATATTTTTCAGTTTAATTATTCCAATAAGTCTAGCTAGATAGATATATAGATAAATAGAGAGATAGAAGGAAAGATAAAGAGCTCGATTTAAAGATTTTAAAGATTCGATTTATAAAAAATAAAATAAAAGGCGAGAAATTAAGAGATACCGAGAGAAGGGAGAGAAAGAAAGAGAGATAGGTAACGAGAGAGTGAGAAGGCAAGCGATAAAATGTTGAGGAAAGTAATAAACTAGATGTAAAAGGGAAAGAAAAGTAAAAGGTTACGAGATACAAAAAATATACAAAGTAGAAAAAGGGAGGGAGAGAGAGAGAGTGAGTGAGTGAGTGAGAGAGAGAGAGAGAGAGAGAGAGAGAGAGAGAGCGAGAGAAACAAATAGCTAGAGTTAGAGAGAGAGGGAGAGAAAGAGAGATCGACAGATGGATAGAGAGAGAGAAAAAAAAACAAAGAGACAAAGAAAGAGAGAGAAAGAAAGACAGACAAACAGATAGACAGATAGATAGATAGATAGATAGATAGATAAAGAGAGAGAGAGAGAGACAGAGACAGTGAGAGTGAGAGCGAGAGTGAGAGAGAGAAAGAGAAAGATATATATATATATATATATATATATATATATATATATATAAAANTAAAAGATATCACGATTTTCCGACGCCAGGACGTGATATCTTTCAAAATCGATAAAAAGCGAAATTACTCTGAAATGGTTGAGAATCGGACCATGGACAATATGAACTTTTTTGTTCATTTTAGGGTGAAGAATCTACTGGAGAAGTTTGTAGCACGAGTAGCAATTCACCCTGTATATAGAGAGAGAGAGAGAGACAGACAGATAAAGAGAGAGACAGACAGACAGCCAGCCGGAGCAAGCAAGGGGAAGTGAGTAAGAAAGAGTAAGTGATAATAATAATAAAAACGTAATCGTAATCAAGAAACGACACTTCTTTCTTCTATTTGGACCGTGGGGATTAATTATTAAACGATTAAAAGTGATCAAATTTTGTTACATTCATTCAACCATGATTTTAACAAAAAAAATTTATTCACAGGAAATAGGTAAAGTACGGAACTGCACTAAATTTTCTATTACGTCTACAAATAGAATAATTAATATTGGAAAGTTCTTCAAGCGGGAAAAGATAATTGAGAGGGGTTCCTTCAGTGCGTGACTGCGACAATGTAACGAAAGTGTTCCAGAGAGTCATAATCTGCCAACAAGGTGACACTCCGTGCGTCCCGGCCAATTAATTATTCACACAAACTGAAAATCGTCCCGTTGTACCGATAGGATCTAACACGTCGGGACCGGTAATTACGCAATTTGCTTGCATTTGTCGTTGACGAAGAGGGCCGCCGTTTTAATTGCAGGCGGACACGAACACCTGAGACGGGAAAAATTGTCGCGTGTCGCCCTTAAATCCGTCCAGAATTGTTTGTTTTCTACATGGGGCACCCTCATGTGTGGGTTTGTGTGGCACACGGTTACATGGGCTAATTAATATAAACTTTTTGCAATTCATCATTATCAACTAATTTTTTAAGATATTTTTTTCTATTGGAGCTCTTTTCATCAGGAAAATCTATTGAAATCAACATAGTACTAGACGTTTTATAATCCACAGCCATTTTTTTCCCGAGAAATTATATTTTTTTAATAATAATAATTATATTTTTTTTAGTAATAATAATTTTCCCATTGTCGGCTCCTTTCGCCTCAAAGAAGCCGACTCCTCATATAAAAATGTCTTTCTATCTCGACTTCCTTCCCCACCCCCTCAAAATCCAACATATATAAACATAAAACAACAATATCTCACTGGCACTCTCAACATGACACCCAATAATGACACATCTACACAGAAAACAAACACTTTGAGTAAGTACGAATACTTTGATTGAATCTAAAATTTTCTAGCATTGTATAAATTCATTCTGTTTTTTTTTAAATCTAAAATTGTCTAGCATTGTAGAAATTAATTTTTTTATCTAAAATTTTGTAACATTGTATAAATTCATTTTATTCCACATCCTGCATGTATTTGTAAAATTCAAACAATGTTTTTTAAATCTCAGGCCCTGAAGATGATCTAAATAAAGATCGAAACATTGGCTTGATAAAGAAAAATGTTTTTTCTAAAACCTATGTCGCACCTCACAATCTCCAAATAATCATTGGCTAACGGTCACTAAACACTTCACATTTACACAATAATAATAATAATAATTTATTTGTACCTGAAATTATAAGTACACATTACATATTGAGCTTGAAATTTGTAGTACTATTACGACCGATTTGAAACTAAAGATACGATGGATATTCTTATATATCTAAAAAAAGACAATCAAGCTATTAGGCTGTTTCACATGAAATGTCCGGTTTTATAGTTTCTGAAATTCAGAGAGGATATAGCAGTTTTCTGTTGTTTACTTCCAATTGTTTACATATTATAATTCAGCAGATATTAATCCTCCACTTTTGTTTATAATTATTCAGATATCGTGAGATGCGATCGGGTGTGATGTAGGTTTCAGAAAAACATTTTCTTTAAACTTTGTTTATAATGATGAGATCCCAAATACATTACGCACTTTTTAGTACACCATCAAATATGAACATGGAAACACGCAATTTTCGTTTAATATTCCTTTAAGCGTTTAAAGTCGGTCATTCGGCAGCTGAGGCTGCACGAAACATCAGTAAGGCATTTGGGGAAGGGAGTGTAAATGAACGTCGTTGATTTGCTAAGTTTCCGGGAGGGAATACCGAATTGGAAAATGAGCCCCGCGGAAGACCTCCAACTATAATTGACAACGATGTCTTTAAGCTTCAGGTAGAAGAAAACCACTATGAAATAGTCAGAGGACTCGAAGCGTAACTAAATACAAGTGCAACTTCCGTATCAAAACAATTAAGGAAGAGGAAAAATCAAAAAGCATGATCTATGGGTCCCTGACGAGCTCACTGAGCGATAGTTAAAGCGCTTTGAGAAATACGTTTTGTTGCTTGCCAGCAAAAAACCGAGCTTATCTTGAAAGAATAATCACTTGCGATGAAAAATGGATCGGATATGACAATCAGCGTTGGTCAGGGTGGTTAAACATCTACAAAAGTCCAGGACACATGCCAAAAAAAAATTTACACACAAAAAATTTATGGTGGTCCATGGCTGGAATTATTCACTACTCTTTTTTGCTTAGAGGTGAGACATTACCTCTACGCCGTACTGCAAGGAAATTGACGAAATGCATAAAAAATTACTCTAAACAACAACCTGCATTGATAAATCGGAAAGGTCGTATTCTCCACTACAACGCCAAGCCTCATGTTTCAAAACAAACTGTAAACAAATCGAAAGAAGCTTTTTTTTTCATTTCAAAGCTCAGAATTCTACAGTTACGTCATAAAGACGTTTTTCAGGCGTTGGGAAAAATGTGTAGAAATAGGTAAATATTTCGGATAAACAGATTTTGTTTTTTATAATAATTGATTGTTTTTATATAGTAATTGTTTTTATATGGTAATTTCACTAAAAAACCTTTACTTTGTAAACATTTCATGTGAAACGACCCAATATTTGTAGAAGGCACAAAGCTGATAATAAGACCTGCACCCGGATAACACGTACGTGTGAAACCAGCAAACGCTGATACAAAATATGAGGGATTTGAATAGAAGGCCGAGTCGGTATCAAGCCCAGCTTCGTTTAATGCGATGGGGCGGGTTCTCGGGATGAGAAAGTGTACAGGGTTTTATGGTAGTACGGTTAGGATCGATCGAGAAATTGGTGTGGTATTTTTGGATTTCGTTTCGTTGAAAAAAGGAACGTTGCAGTCTTTATGAATATGATTAGTGGCGAAGTTTTTTTTCCTAGTTCCCCAAAGGATTTTAAGATACAGGATGTTGGATGATGGAAGAACACCACAGTTACACTACATAGGTATGTCCAAAATGGCCGCAGTACTGCACTGAATGGAGTCACTTGAGTTTCAGTCTTAAAATTATTGTAGTCTTTTGTCAAATTGTTTTTTTCTTTAATCTAGTGTGGAGATTCAAATTCAATCTCCCCCCTATG